TCATTAGTCAAGTACACAACCAGAGATCAGAAACAATTGTTAACAATTGTCCTATTCGATTGGTCAGAGAAGATTTCTGACCAATCAGACACGGAAATAGCAAAATTCTGGCCGAATTTGGGAATTGTAAAGTAAGGGCAGTCTGATTCGTTGTGTTATGACAGCATACCAGTATAAGCAACTGTGCTGATCAGCGTTTTATTTCTAACAACCCTGTAAAATCAGTGTTTCACACTAGACGACACTGAAAATTAGTGTTACCCTCCTAGGGACACTGAGTGTTCAGGGTACCCAAAAACCAATCTGAGGCCCTGATTGTGGGTACAAGTAATAACCCTAACATTGGGTCGTACCCCATACAGGTTACCCCACTACAGCCTACACAGAACTAGCACATATACAATTTGACACACCCCCATAAGCAAAGTGGGGGAGAACAAGCGGTCACAAGACCAGTCAAGAAGAGCAAAGCAAGCTCAGGGTGGATCACAACGTCACCACACACTCCGAGCACAAGCAAATGGCCACAAGGCCAGTTCACATGCAGAAGTATATATGCAACAACAACAGTACAGTGATTACTACCTAGCAGGAGTAGGCATGCATGTATACAATATATATCACAGTACAAGCAAAGTCAAGAGGTGAGTAAGTGAGGCCAAGTAGGCACAAGTCCTAGCACAAGGCCGAAGGTGTAACCCTGTGACGACCGCTGCGTAGCCAAGTCGTCAACCCAAGAAGCGTCTGCGTGACCAGTGAGGACAATTCGAGCCCGTCCTCCAAGCACGAGCCCCATGCCCGACGTACTGCACAAGTAGCGCATCACCCTCTTAGCGGCCTCCCAGTGTTCTCGTCGGTGTCTCCCGGGCGCAACGTAGTGTGCCAGGATGCTAAGAGGGTAAGCAAGGTCAGGACAAGTGCAAGTCATCAGGTACATGAGGCGGCCCACAAGCTCTGGATATGGGCCACTCGGCTCTACGGACTCATCCGAAGGCAGAGCTGAGAGCGAGTGACCGGTAGGCAGAGGAGTGGACCGTGGCGAGGAGTACATGAAGCGGAAGCGCTAAAGGACCTGCTGCACCATGTGTGACTGAGTCAGGGTAATGGTGCGCCGTGCTCTGTCCCGGGTGACCTGCAAGCCAAGATAGCTACGCAGCTCTCCCAGGTCTGTACTGTATGTCTCTTCTGCAGCTCCGAATTCATGTGGGCGAGTCCCTCAGTGTCAGCAGTGGCAAAGACCAAGTCGTCGACGTACAAGAGGATGTAGAACAGCGGTAGCGAAGTGTCGGTGTGCAGAAACAGCGACGGGTCAGCAGTCAAAGGAGCAAACCCAAGGGCCGCAAGCGTCGTCCTCAGTGTGTCGTGCCACTTGCGAGGCGCCTGACGGAGACCGTAGACTGGCCGCCGGAGGCTCCACTGGGTACCTGCAGGAAACGACCGAGTGAAGCCAGGTGGGCGGCGCAGCCAGATCTCCTCGTGCAGGCTGCCCTGCAAGAATGCTATGCTGAAGTCAAGAGAGTGAAGCTCGTAGTCACGCTGAGCGGCGACGTGCAGCAGAACCCGAAGAGTGGTCATCTTCGGGGTGGGGGAGAAGGTCTGAAAGTAGTCAACTCCCTGCCGCTGACTGAAGCCTCGAGCCACGTAACGTGCCTTGAAGACAGGCGGAGAACCCGGCGGCCACTTTACCCTGAAAATCCACATGCCACTGACGATGTTCGCCCCAGGTGGGGGAACCTCGTCAACTTAGGTGCCTGTGGACTTCCAGGAAGCCATCTCTGCGTCCATGGCTGACTACCACTGAGAGGAGTAGGGACCCTCAATCGCCTCTGCGTAAGAGCGCGGGGTCGGGATGTCTGGTGCATCCGAGTCTCCCTCAGGTGCAATCAGCATGGACACGAGATGAGGTACAGCAGCTGCAAAGCACTTAAAGTCCTCCTGCCTGTCCTCAAGGACGTCTGTGCCAAGAGCACACTCACCCCCGACGGACGGAGGACAGACAGACTCAGACTCAGCAACAAGACTAGTGGCGTAGTCTAGACGAAATGGAGCAGCAAAGCCAACCAGCTCAGCAACTAGGGCAGACGCAGCAGCAGACTCAAACGAAGGGTCAGTGAGAGCAGTGGCCAGGAGACGGGTGACAGTAGGGCTGGTAGCACGAGCTAAGTCAGACTCAGGGTCCGGAACGTGCGGAAGAGAGGACGCAGGAGGAGATGGCAGGGGAACAGAACAGAGGAAGGACGAAGTGCCGAAGTGTGCGTGCCAGGGACAGGAGGAGGACGCTCACGAGGAACACGACGACCAGTGCGACCAGCGCGAACAGGCAAGGCAGGACGAGACGCAGGCTCACGACGATCTGTAAGCGAGTCCGTCTGCTCAGTGTAAGGAGAAGGAGCAGGGAGCGGAGAGCCTGGCTGTAAGGGGAGTCCAGTAGAAGGCGGGAGGCTAAGAACCTGGCGAAGTGCGGACTCAGGTGGTGGCAGAGACGAAGGTGACGGCGAAGCGAAAAACAGTCGCTACTGTGCAGTACCACCAGCACCTCTAGCACCAGCAGCACCACCATCTCCGGCATCAGCAGTACCTCCAGTACTAGCACCTCCCGGACCAGCAGCTCCAGAACCTCCAGCGCCAATGCCTCCAGCTCCAGCACCTCCAGCGCCAGCGCCTCCAGCTCCCGCAGTGCCTCCAGCTCGGGCAGCTCCAGCACCTCCAGAACCAGCACCTCCAGGACCAGCAACTCCAGCTCCAGGGCCACTAGCCCCGACGCCTCCAGTGCCAGAGCCTCCAGCTCCAGCGCCTCCAGCACCAGCGCCTCCAGCTCCAGCACCTCCAGCTCCAGGGTCTCCAGCTCCAGTGTCTCCAGCACCAGCACCTCCAGCTCCAGGGTCGACAGTACCAGCTTCAGTGCCTCCAGTAGTAGCACCCCCAGAACCGGCACCTCCAGCTCCAGCAGCACCACCAGTCCTGGCAGCTCCAGTACCTCCAGTACGAGCACCTCCATAACCAGAAACACCATCACCCTCAGTGCCTCCACGACGAGTAGCTCCAGTAGCTCCAACTACAGTACCTCGAGCAGCAGTACCTACAGCAGCAGGACCTCCAGCTCCAGCAGCACGACTCCTCAAGCGCGCACGCCACGCAAGCCACTCTCGTAGCTGCTGTGGTGTGAGAGGCCCCCATCGTGAAATGCGACCCGGAGAAACACCAGCAGACTCAGCACCCCCAGACCCGGCACCCTCCGGCTCAGCACCCCCAGGCTCCGCGCTCGTAGGCTGAGCACCCCTAGGCTCAGCACCCCCAGGCTCAGTACCCCCAGGCTCAGCACCCCCCAGCACCACACGCATAGGCTCAGCACCTCCAAACGCAGCACCCCTCAGCACCTCACGGACAGGCTCAGCACCCCCAGACGCAGCACCCCGAGCAGCACCACCCGCAGCAGCACCTGAGTCGCTAGTGACCTCCATAGGCTCAGCCGAGGGGAGTGGGTCTACCTGAGACACACCTGAAGGAGCAGGACCCTGAGGAGGGAGGGGGTCTACCGGAGGGGGACCTGGAGCGAGGAAAAGCGACGGGGGAGGGAGAGGGGCAGTGCGGTAGGGGAAGAGACGGTAGAAAGGAACCGACTCGTCAAAGGTGACGTCCTGAGAGGACAGAACACAGTGCGAGGTGGGGTGATAAAACTGCCAGCCAGGCGCGTCAGTGGGGAAGCCGAGGAAGACACAGGGCAGGGTGCGGGAGGAGAGCTTGTCTGCGGATGTATCGCGGACAAAGGCACGAGCACCCCAGACCCGGAACACTGATGCATCGCCAACCTCCCCCGTCCAACGTAGTGTCGGCGAGGTCTCCGGCAAGGAGACACGGGGCCAGAGGTTGAGCTGATGCGCAGCGTAGCGGACTGCAAACGGCCACAGAAAATGGGGAGCTGCCGCATGGATCAAGGAGGTACGAGCGATCTCCATGACCAAGCCAATGCGGCGCTCACCAACCCCATTGGCTTGGTGAGGCCGGAAGCGTGAACGACTGGAGGATGCCCTCCCTCTGACAGAAGGCCTGTAAGTGGTCGGAGGAGAACTCACCACCTCTGCCACAGTGCAGACGCAGGATAGGGAGGTCCTGGCGGAACCGCTCGCGGAGCTAGAGACGAACTGCTCGGATCCAATGGATCAGGACATCAGGGACCTCACCCTTGGTGCGCAAGGGGAAGACCGTGGTGTAACGCGAGTAGTCGTCGACAACCAGCAGAAAGTACCGCGCGCCGCCCTGTCCACGAACGCGGGCTGGGCCCCACACGTCCATGTGGAGGGTCTACAGGGGAGCCTCTGTCGGGGGAAACGAGGAGTGAGGAGCGGCGCGCTGCCACCCCTCGACACAAGGAAGGCAGGGCGGCGCAGGCGAGGCAGGGAGGGGAGGGAGAGATTTGAGAAGACCAGACACAAGGAGGCGACGGTGCATGCCACGTAGATGTGGCAAGGAGGGGTGACCCAGACGGTGGTGCCAGAGAAGAGTCTGGTGCGGCAGGGAGCGACACGAACAAGGGGAGGCTACCTGACCTGACGCAGACACCTGACCAGTAGCAGCTACCAGAGGAGGCGCAGTCGTCAATGTGTAAAGACTCGACCCTGGCCGACGGGTAAACGTGGCCAGGTGGCGGCCGGTTCGGGAGCACGTACAGATCGCCACACACTGTCCTCCAGGGGTAAAGGTGTCAACCCTTTGGTCCTGGAGAACTGCGTTGCTCACCAAGTTCGTAGAGAACGAGGGGAGGTGGAGGTCTGACAGTGAGCCAAACAGAACCGCCGGGCACGGGAGCACAGTGGTGGACCGTGCAAGAACTGGGCCCCCTGAGGGGTCAGCTAGAGAGACTGCAACAGGTGCAGTGAGTGGTGTGAGTGCAGTACTGTCACGAAAGAAACAGCGGGAAGCACCTGAGTCAAGCGTGAAGGTGTGCAAGGCCTCAGCAGGCGCAGTACCTGAGAGAGCAGACTCGCTCGCACCAGCAGCCTCTATACCTGGGTCAGGCGGCACACACAAGTAACAATCTTCCTCAGCACTAACACTCAATGCATACATGGCAGCAAGGATAGCATCATAGTCAAGAGCAAAGATGTCTACACCAGCCCTAAGCAGCTCATGCCAGCGAGGGCGCTCGACCTCCTCGCCCATCTCCTCACGCCAGGCGTCGTCAAGGCGGGAGAAGCAGCGGTGCTGAGTGTGGAACTTCCCGCATGTCTTACTAGCGCGGTCACCTGTGCAAATGACATACAGGCAGCGACCACTACCCCCAGACGTCCCACGCTGAGCAAGCCACTCATGAAGCTGCTGCGGCGTAAGCGCCTCACGGGGACGCTGCTGCTGCTTCTGGCCAGCGCCAGCGCCTCCGCTTCGACCGCCACCGCCGCCCCGGCCGCCACCGCCACCACCGCCGCCGCCACTGCCGCCGCCACCCCCTCCGCCACCACCGCCTCCACCGCCACTCCCACCGCCGCCACTGACGCCACCACTCCCGCCAGCACTCCCACCACCACTCCCTCCGCCACCTCCTCCTCCTCCACCTCCTCCACCACCACCCCCTCCGGTGCCACCTCCGCTACCCTTGGCTCCCTTGCCCTTGCCGCTGCGGCGCCTCCCACTAGGAGCAGAAGCAGCAGCAACAGACTCAGCACCAAGACAGTCAACCGCAGCGGCAGTAGCGTAGGAGGGGGCGAGGGGAGAGGGAGAGCACCCCTCAAAGATGGGGGTGCGAGGAGCACCACGAGCAGCACCTACAGTGACTATGCTAGTCTCAGCGGCTAGAAGGTGCTCCTCTAGGAGGTCGACAGTGAGATCGGTGGGAGAGCGAGCGAGAAAGTGGTCCCTGACCGAGCGAAGAGAGTCAGGGAGACGGGTCACTATGAAGTGGAGGGTCCAGTACATCGGATGCGTGTTCTTAGCTAAGAACTCTTTGGGGAGGGCGGCGCGAAGGCGAGTGTCACTAGTGCGAAGGTGGATGATAAGATCGGCAACTTTCGCAAAGGTGGACAGCTCAGGAAACAGGTAGGGCAGCATGAGGCGGCTAAGTGCAGGAGTGGCAGGGGAGGAGTATCGAGTAACTACAGCATCGTACAGGGCCTTAGCGGTTTTGTGCTCGCCAAAATGCGTGAGTTCGGCTAACGACAAGTGGTTGCGAACGGCTAGGCGAGCTGCAGCGTCACAAGTCTGCCACTGGGAACGAGCATTAAGCCCAGCTGTGGCAGCAGGAGCGACGGAGGCACCAGACCTGTGGTCAAAGAGAGAGACATTATCCTTGCTATCGCTCATTAGGAACAGCTGCAGGTCATCGAGCCAGGTCTCAAACTGAATCGGGCAGCCCTCAGTATCAAACGACAGAACGCGGAGGGTGGCCATAGCTGCTGGCTCGGGACTGACAGGGCAGAGCGGTTGCAGGCAAGCAGCAGTAGCAGCAGTAGGAGCTGTAGAAGCAACAGTGCAGCAGTAGAAACTGGTCTGCTAGGCAACTAGGCAGCATGGCGCGGCTCAGTAGGGCGGCGCGGCTCGGGCAGCGCGGCGGCTCGGGCGGTGCAGCGCGGCTCGGGCGCGGCGGGGCAGTGCGGCGCTGGCAGCTGCAGCAGCGTAGCAGTGGCTGCAGCACTGGCAGGGCGGGTAGAGCGCAGGGCAGCGCGGGCAGGCGGCGCGCGAGGCAGCAGGCGGCCTGCGGGGCAGCAGGGCGGGCGGGGCGCTGGGCGTAGCGGGCGGCCGTGGCTGTGGCAGGCGGCGCTCGGGGCTGCAGGCGGCTGGCAGGGCAGCAGGGCGGGCTGCGCGCAGGGCGTAGCGGGCGGCCGCGGAAGCAGGGCGGGCGGCGTACGGGGCTGTGGGGCAGCGCGACAGGTGGCGCGCGGCGCGTAGCAGGCAGCCGCAGCAGGGGCAGGCGGTGCGCGGGGCTACATGCGGCACGCGGGGCTGCAGGAGGCGCGCGGGGCGCAGATCGGGCAGCGCGCTTAAAGAAAAAAACGTGCGCTGCAGCAGTGGCGCGCGGCCAGCAGGGGCAGCGCGCAGGTGGTGTGCGCGAGGCAGCGCGACGCGAGGTAGGGCAGTAGGGTAACGCAGTAACCGCAGTCGGAATGGTGGGCCCGAAAAAAAAAAACGGTCCTACGGACCTACTGCTCTGATACCATGTCAAGATTAGAAGCCAGAATGACTGCATTGAAAGGATTGTGGGTACAAGTACTAACCCTAACATTGGGTCGTACCCCATACAGGCTACCCCACTATAGGGCCAGCTTTGCTTCTTCTAGTAGTTCGCGATTATACAGTCCTTCATTGGTGGCTGAGCAGAGTGCTATGTATTCAGCTTCAGCAGAGGAGAGAGCAATTAGTTCTTGCTTGCTCGATGGCCACGAGATAGGACTGATGGCTCGAGTCGATAGTTGTAGCCTATGCGTGATCGTCTGTAATCTGAGGGAGATTTGGGTCCTCGGGATAGACTGCTTCGTCTCCCGCTTCTAAATCAGGTGAGAAGTTGAGGCCTATGCGTTCTGAATCGTTTGTGTTGACTGGCTGAGGTGTAACATAACCATTGTTGGCGAAGTGGTAGTAGACTTCGGCGTTGACGCTTTCGCGAGGGTTGTCACCGTCCATCGGAACAGGTACCGAACAGTAAGGAAGAGGTCCGACTTCCTCGGATGCTCCTCCACGTTTTTGTTCATCCCAGTCAGCCTCATCTGCTGCCGAAGCGAAGGCTCGGTCACCACGAAATCCTCTTGTGGGGTCTCGTACGGCTGCCAGGCTGTCCAGGTACATTTGAAGGGTGAGTCGCTCGTAGAAAATGACGTCAAGTGCTACTGTTTCCTTTGAGTGGACGTCGAAGATTTTCCATGCGTTGTAATGCTTTTCGATGCCAAGGTGTAGTCCCCACTGTGCTCGTTGTGAGAATCTTCCGGCTCGTGCAGTGTGTGGTCGGTACTGTACCATGCAGCCAAAAACGTGTAACATTTTTGTGTTGCCCAATTAACCTGTCCACAGCAGATGCGGTGATGCGTTGTTCGGGAGCGATGATGACGAGAGCAAATTGTGCAGCAGCACAGCATGGTCCATTGCCTCGGGCCACTGGTGGTTGGGTAGCCGCATGCCACGTAGCAGCTTGCGCATGGTGTTCTGGAGGATCCTGTTCATTCTTTCTGCCACGCCTTGCTGCTGATGAGCGTAGGGAAGAGAGATGAGTCGCTTGATGCCTCTCTCTGCCAAGTACTGCTAGAACCTGTGTGACTGATATTCCCCTCCTCCGTCTGACTAGAAGCTTTTCAGCTTCACTCCTGATTCCCTTTCTGCTACTGAAAGCCATGCGACAAAGGCTTCGAAGGCCATATCGCGACTCGGAAGGTTAAGATGCCAGACGTATCTGGTGGTCGCGTTGATGAAGGTGATGACGTAGTTGTACGCTCCGTGTCCACTTTCACGAGTGTACAGTATATCACTGTAGACTTTCTCCAGTGGTGTGTATACGGGTGCGCTTCGGTTGTGGTGAGAGACGAACGGCTGGTAGGGTAAGTTGGCTTCAGGGCAGGTAAAGCATGTTCCACGAACTCGTTCAAGTTCTCTGCCGTTGGGAAGAAGGAGTGAGTCTTTGTCGAGCACTCCTGCTCTTATCGTGTTGTCCAGTGTTGTGTTGCTAGGATGCCCTACTCTTTGATGCCATAACGATTCGTCAGCCCAATGTCCAGGTGACCTTCTGTACAGATCGGAATTGGAGTAAAAACTCGCGGTGAGGTTGGTGCTTCTGTGGACTTCGCGTGGATTGGGGTTAGCTGCTGGGCTGGAGTCGGTGGAAAATCGTCGGTGGGAACTGGTGTTGTTGAGGGACCAGCGATTGGTGTTGTCTCTGCTTCTGCCGGTGTTGTCTCTGCTTCTGCCGGTGTTGACTCCGCTTCTGCCGGTGTTGTCTCTGCTTTTGCCATTGTTGTCTCTGCTTCTGCCGATGTTGTCTGTCGAATTGTTGCTAACGCTCTCGTCCGTTCTGCTTTAGGTATGGTGTGTGAGTACCAAAATCCTCCGGGGCTGAAATCGGGGTCAAGATCTGGTGGGTGCGACTAGGTGGTGAAGTTAACAATCGCGCCGCTGTCAGCGGTGCCTTGATCTGGAACGAAGTCGAGGACGAAGACGTTGTTCTTCAGGACTGCCTTCCCAATGTAGAGTCCGCCCTTGCCGTTGTAAAGCTTAAACTTCTGAGTGGTGCTATTGGCTTCAAGGTGAATTCCCTTCTCCATGAGTTGAGTAACGCTGAATAAGTTGTAGCCAAGTCCTTCTGCGATCAAAACCTTCGACATCTGTAGGATAACATGGGCCTCTTTTGATTGAAGTTGAACTACCCCTTGTCGTCGTGTGCGCATGTTCTGGTTCTTGGTGACGGTGATGACAACTTCGCGGTTGAGACGTTGTTCCCGTTAAACGAAGCAACCTGAATAGCACATGTGTTGTCCGCAGAAGCTGTCCAAGAACCAAGAACAACGAGGTGAACAGCTTCTTGGATGGTTGAAGGTCTATCTTTCCCGGATGGTTCGCTTCGAGCGATGGCTGCGTACGTCAGATTTGGCTCCACTGATTCGCGACAAGGCGTGCTCTCGTCGAGCTGTTCTTCGGGTGAGTAGTTCGGTGGTGAACCGGTGATGCAGGAGTCCATTGTTCTTGTCATGCAGCTTATGATATTTCTTGTTCCTCTTGCAGGTTGTGATGTTGTCGTTGAGGACGACGCCTGGTTGGAAGGGTGCTGTTGTGTGGAGGCTACTTGTCTGCTTGAAGGTCGGAGCTGGCGTGGTGGTGTCAATTGCTGTTGATTCGGGCAGTAAACACGGAGTGTCCTGGCGTTTTGCACAGGTGACAGAACGGTGGTACGTATCTCCATGCCTGGCGCTCGTGTTGTCGGTTGTTGTTTTTGCGCCGTTGAGTGTGAAATGAAAACTCCAGTACTGATGCCTTCTCCTTGTGACCTTCTTCGTGCATGTCCATGTCTTGATGCTCAGCGTGGATTTCGGCGCAGCGAGCTGCTTCAGAGATTCTTCCATGAGCTCGGAGGATGGCTCGGGTTGAGCTCCACTGAGGACCGCGACCAGTGATGACGACAGTGACAAACGCTTCTTCGGAAATTGACCCACCGCATCGAAGGAGTCTATCGCGCAGACCGCAGCAGCGACTGATATATGCCATTCCTTTTTCGCCTGGTTGCATTTGCACTGTTGTCAGTTGTGCCATGAGACGACTCTGATTGACGCTGACAGTTGCCTGATACAGAATCTTCTAGTGGTTGTACGTGAGCTTGGCGGAGTTGCCGTATCCACGATAAGACCGGATGTTCTGTTGCTCGTTTGCCATTATGTTGCGCAGGAGTATGGTGTACGCCATCAGTGACTGATACGTGTACTGATGCTTGTCGTACTGTGTTCCGTGCGTTGGGTATGGCAGGGAACCATCAAAGAGGCCAAGAATCTGAGCGCCTTCCATCATCAGCTCCAACTCGAACGACCAGGCATTAAAGTTCTTGCCTTCAAACGGTGTTGACGTTTCTAGTTTTAGAACGTGTGCAAACTGCGATTGTATCTGAAGTGCATCCAGTGTCTTCTCTTGTCCAAGTGGAAGCTGGTTTGGCATGAAGCTGATGGAGGCGCGTTGAGGCTCATACGGAGCAAAGGTAGGCTGCTGCCGATTTCCGCGCGCAAAGGATGAGCCGTCAAGACTCATTGGGGTGACACCGCTGTTGTTGTCGCTGTTGTTTGATTGCGCAGGTGCTGCTTGCTGGTGTTGTTCGTAAAACGACATGAAGGAGAAGAATTTCTCCATCATGCTTTGGTCAAAGCCAGTTGTTTGGTTCACAGGAGTTTCAGTAGATTCAGCAGCTGGTCTTGTTGCCGTACCTCCCTCTGTCTGCAGTCCAGAGGCTGGAGGTGGAGTAGGAGTAGTGCCGGGTGATCCGTTAGAGGAACTTCTCTCCTTCTGTGTTGCCATGTCTTGAGTTGTTGTAGAAAGTTGAACAGAGTTGAGTCTTGCCCTGTTTGCTCTCATACCATGTTGGGTTGAGAAAGCCCTTAGGATCGTTTAAAGGCTAAGACTTGATGTAATGATGTAATTGCGGAAGCTTTGTAGTGAACTGGTTGAACCACCTTGCACTAGTGCGTGAGAGCAAGATAGATTGATTATAGCAAAGTAATACAAGGCTTTATATGATTACAAGGAAATATGAGAAGACATAACTAACTGTTGCTGTTGCTGTTGTGATTCGATACAGCTGCGACTCGGGCAACTGCTCAGTAACGAGTCAGTTGTTTGTCCTTGCTGTTGCGCTGCCTTTCGGTGAGTCAAAGGTCACTGACCTTTGACCTTCGCTTAACCTCCTTGCTGTTATCTTTTGTTAACCTCTT